GGATATGCATACTTGGATTATATTTTTCAACCCCTCTATTTAAAGGGTGGCTCACACTGAGTCACAAACAAGAATATTTTTCAGTTCATATCTTTTTGTTTATTTATTGAGTTGCCATTGGTTACATATATATAATATATTGCTATTAAACTTAACAAAGTTTTTGGCACAAGTAATATCGGACGGGACAGCTGCTATAGTAAAAATAATTATTTTGATTTGATCGTTATAATAATAATAATATATTAATAATCATAATACTTTATGATTTAATGAGTTAATACCGACTACACTACTAAATAGTTAATAGTAAATAATACCTAGATTTGCGTTATAATTGTTACATAATTTATAGTAACACTGAATAAATAATATGAAATAGTAAGTTGTTCAACATCTATAACTATGTTTGAAAACATTTTTTGGTAAGGCTATAAAGTATCGTATTATTTATCTCGTCGAGAATCCATAGAGCATCTTATTTTTAAAAATCGCAATCTTTGAAAAAAAGACAAGTTTCATTGGGGTAGAGGTTAAGAGCTCGACTGCAAGACTTGGTAGTCGTTTCGCTGAAATGTGGCTTCGTAAACACTCACGTGAACAGTAGAGCGAAAACAGATTGTAGAATTTGCGGATGAACTTCAAATATTATTACCTATAAACTCAGAACTTGAATTGGAAAAAAATGGAATGGAGGATGCAAAAATATGAAAAAATACTTGCGTAACCGAAGACTTATATTTTTAATTGATTGGAAAATATGTAATAATAGAAACGAAACGCTTAAATGTAAAAAAAAAAATTAGGATGTTCAATCGACAACGGCCCCCTCCAATTCAACTATTCGAGCACTGGCTATAAGCACTTATAGATGGTGACATGAAAACGGTTTAATCGAGAGAATAGATTCTGGTGGATGTGGAAAAAACGGTAGGTGGTGAATGTTTTTCTCGAGACCGTCCGCCGGACAACATCCTTATTGTTAGGTATTTATTTTTTATTGTGCGTCCGCAGCTCTGAATTCTTCGTACAGTATTATTTAAAACATTTAACTTGCACGAACCATGTAACCAACATTTTGTTACCTAAATATATTGAATTCCACACACGAGATATTATAATACGAGATACGACGTCATGACGAGTATTAATTGTGAACCATACATGTAGTGTTTCCATAGGGTATGCTACGTATACGTATTATACGTTGTATATTTTCAAGCTTTTCTCATAATATCATAGTCATACTACGTAGTATATTATGAAATAAGCCGTAAAATAAAAGAAATACATAATTTGTTTTAAATTTTAGTTTATCCACTAATTACTTCAAGAAATTCACAATCACACCTAAATCTACTCTCAGAATGGTATGCAAAATGTAAAATTAAATTAAACAACAACAAATCCATCCACACAACTCTCACTCTAAGACACAGACTTTGCCCTAACGTAACTGTAAATAACTTACCTATCCCTGCTCTTGACACTGTTAAATTCTTAGGACTAAACCTCGATAAAACACTAACATGGTAAAATCATATAAAAAAAAAAAAATGTATACTTAATGCCCGCTCCCGTTCTCTAAAAGTATTACTTTCTAAAAATAAATACATCTTTAAAAACAAAACTTCCAATATACAAATCACTTCTAAAGCCCATATGGACGTATGGTATCCAACTATAGGGATCGGATAAAAATTAAAATTAAAATTAAATTCAGGCCTTCCAAAATATTACCGTTCGTAAAATCACAAATGCCCCACCCTTCGTCTCTAAGATGACCTTCCACAAAGACCTAGGTATAAAAACAATAAGCAACTTTTTTCTGTAAACGATTTTATAATAAATTAGAAAATCGTGAAAATCCTCTAATAATACATATCTCGTCACTTCCTGAAAATCCCTGTCGCAGGCTGAAAAGGAAATGGTGTAGGGATCATCTAACTTAATACCAATAAGTTGTAAGTAGGTAATYACATAATAAACAAGCTAAGTACTACTGATGGGTGTCTTCTTATTCACGTAACCCCATAATGTTTTATTATCCTAATCTCACATATACTTATTGTGCTTAATTGTATAGATTGTATATTTCTTGTAAAAATTAAAAAAAAAATTAAAAAATTATACTATATTTTATTTTACTATATATTCTAAATTTAAAAAGTATCTATATTAAATAAGGTTAATCGTAATAAACTAATAAGTCATAAATAAAAGTATAGAAGGTTTTTACTAAACCGTTGCGCAACACACAATATAACAAATCACGGGTTGACCAATACTTACAATACAGTTATATTATTACCGACACTCGACAGAAATGTAAAAATAATAAATATTACAAAAAAATGAATCTTGCAACAATAGTTATCGGTGGTATTTCCCGTAATCGTCGTTGTTGGTCTTTCATTCTACTCTACGTGTTTACAATTTATTTAAATGATTCATTTTTATAATAATTTTGTTTTGATATGGTAATTTTTTAACTGTGAATTAAATCTCGGCTAAAGTGCACTTTACCAACCCCCTCACGATTTTCAAATTTTTTTTTCAGACGACTTGTTTTTTTATGCTTTTTTTCCCTGAAACCATTATTTTGGAAGTTATAGCCTTCCAAAGTTTGTGATTTTACGTTTATGCGCTTGACTGCCACGCGCAGCGCCTATAAGAAATTTTAATATTTTTTCTTACGTATTTCAACAAGTTGTGGGACATGGTAATTTTTTGGGTGAATAAATAATAAATACATACTGTAAAAATGTAAAATATATTTAATATTATAATATGCTATATAGGTGCTAGGTGGTGTTATATGCTTATATAATAACAAAAATAATATAATATATAGGTATAGGTAACCATTAGTCGGTCATCTACCTGCGAAGATAATTGCTTTTTAATAACATTGTTTAATTCCGAGGCTTACCCAAGGTGGTTTTACACAGCAAATCGAGGGATATTTTCGATTTGCGGAGAGGAGCGACGGCGCCGAGGAGCGCAGAGATGACGAGTKCCGCAAACTGTGTAATCACTGCCCGACTGCCRATACTGCGACAGTAAAGTAGTGGTGTTGCGCGCATTATATAGGCATTTTATATATTTGATAAAATTTTCAAAATATTTATATTTGTTTTGAGCTGTTTACTGAAATTTTAATTTTTCAACTTTTTTAGTTTTTTTTTCTATAAATATCGATAAAAAATTATTTGTTCGGTANACAAATGGATACGTACAAATAATATAATTAAATTATAATTTATATTTTATTTTACATATTATGACGATAAATTATACGTATAATATGTCATCTAATCTATAACCTATTATGCGATGGCCAACGAGTAGCAATACACAATAAAATAATTAATAATATCAACTTATCAAAGTGTTTGACTATTATTATATTAATAAATACCAAAAATGTCTGAATTCGGTTACTCGCGGCAGCTGCATTTATGCATTTACCATAATACTAATTATACATCGTGCAGTATAATATAGTCAATCCGACAATGTACTAACCTAACCAATTCTCAGGTGAGCGTGCGTGATAACGAATTTTAATTTAATGTTTAATTCATTCATGTATTTACATTTTACCGTGACAACCGAGCACACGTTGACGATATAATGACAACATAATGGACGAAAAAACGAAATATTCAGATAATTCATTATCTGATACATTTTGTTAAAATATTAGTACGATAACTGATAAGCATAACATAAAATGHGTTTGATTTATAAAGAGTTCATAGCAAAATACATATAGTTTAATTTTTAAATCGCATAATATTATAATMTGATTTAAATTCATCATTACGATAATATGAATGATAAAACAAATTAAGTGTGCCTATTTTATTTTTATTTTTAGGTTTACATACATACTGGTTTGCGAAATCGAACAACGTCTCTCGCATAATATTACTATACATTTATATTTGGTAGAACCTTTTACGTTTAACAACAAAATTTCAGCTGTTGCAAAATGTTTATAACACAGCTTGCACCCCAGAAAACCAGTTTAGAGGGTGCGTTCTCCAATATAAAGGACACAGATAATGTACCTTTTTTTTTTAAATTTAAGGATAATTTTACCATTACGATGCGAATGTAATGTCGTATGCGGAAAAATCATCATGTTTTATTTTTATAGAATAGGTAAGTACCTATGTTTGTACATGTGTATTGTAAAATGATATCAGAAAACATATTGATTTATCGTTTTATGTTTGATTTCGTTGCTAGTAGTTACGCCTTTATAATGTTTATGATATTTATATTTATTTATTTTTTAACTTTAATTTACACTTACAGACTACAGTATTAGTAATTATTAATACATAAATCTATTTTCTAGATGGGTATTATGTATTTTATCTGTTATTAGTTATAAGTACATATAAATGTACACAATTATCAAATATCCTGTAATGTAGGTACCTAAAACTACGTATACCTATAGTACCTACATAAAAACAATATGTCTATGAAATATGAATAATAATCTATGTTTTATCTGTACAAACTTTTATATATTTATATATAATATATAATGTATAAATATATGTAATATAATTGTATATATTATTCCAATATCATGATATGTTTGTATCGTTATAATATGGAATKTAATACATTTATTTATACGTTTATATTAGGTATTATAAAAATYAAATCACTGTAATTACTACGTATATACCACTTCCATTCTGAAAAGATTACGAAAAAATAATAATTACTCGCTCGTCGTTCGTAGATATAGACAATTTACATACAATATTAACAGCAAAAAAAAGTACTTTTTTTATTCCGCTACACTATACAATTATTATTAATAATTATAGTACAATGGTATAATCGAAATTATTAATTCTCACGAACACGTTCGTCGTACTAGTGTATAGGTGCATGTAGTTTTTAAGCCATATAAACTGAATACTTCCTTAAAAAATATCCTCAAATTTAGTAAACAAATGGTGGAGACTTACGGTTTGACTTTACGTCCTTTTCTTCTATGCCAACTGTCTGCGATGGCTTTGCTGATCACTGCCTTTTTCCCCACCAAAGTCCGCCCAAATTTAATCGCTTTCTGCTTAGCGGATTGCACCGTTCTTTTACAYTCGTCCTCCGGTAATCGCAACACTTCGGCCATTTTTATACGGATGTAATAATAATATTATGTTTTTTACGCATACATCGTGTTGTGCACAAATCAATTTTCAATCGGAATGACGACGTTGTAACGAGCGATAATTATTTAATAAAATAACACAAAAAACGTATACAAATAATAAAAAAGTGTACACTATAATCGTCTAAACAAACGAAACGATTAAAATCACGATACGCCTATATGTAATACTATATTTAATATTTTTAATCTAACAACGCACCAGATGCATTATTTAAAGATTTATTATTAAATCTGCAGTAGACTGCAGACTACATAAGTACGCGTTCGATGACGGTCGGTGGACGACACGAAGAGCAATGGAAACCCAAACGCTCCACGCCAACACACACACGGCCCCTGCGGTATACATGTATAGTGTATACCTATTACCAGTCACCAGTAACCACTGCGGCGGGCGGACAAACAAGTGCACTGTCGAGGCGTAGATCCTGGCTGGYTGGATGAGTGCGTGCACGTCGGGGGGACTTGACCACCATCCATTATGACAACACGTGCTCCGGCGGCGTGTGGTTAGATTATATTATGTTCATAATAATAATGATTAACATTAAAACATTGCAAGCATTCCAATCCATATGTCTACGCCTAATAACCGCTGCCCCTTGGTACGTTACCAACAAAAACCTCGACAAAGACCTGAACATACCAACCCTCAACGACTTAGCTAAATCCTACAAATTAAAATTTCACTCAAAGCCTCATCCAAATCCCATAGTTAAAAGTATATCCTCTACCTCAATTATTCCTAGAAAGCTAAAAAGTCAATGGCCTAGAGTCTAGAGATCTGCTAAATGCCTAGCAAAAAAAAAAAAAATTAACTAAGGAGAAAATACTAAAAAATTGAAACCCTAATTTCTTGTCAGGTGGCACTGCTGGGAGACTTCTTTTTCTGTATTAGATGTTATTTTGTTATTTTGTCATCACACTTACTCATTATACCATTTTATAGATTGTAAATTCGATATTTTAAAAAAAAAAAATTTAAAAAATAATAATAATGATATTCAGAGCCCCTTTTAACGGTGATGAGGAAAGGCCAWAGGGGGTGGAAATTTCTCCGGGGTGGCAAATTTTTGAGGAGGTGCAACTTAAAATAAAAAATATGTATCAATATAATTTTCTTAAGGGTGGCATATTTTTATTTGCTCCGGGGAGGGATATAGCTTAACATGGCACTGATGCTATCAAGTCTTGGGTCAGACCTGGGCAGGGAGAGTGTTCAAATTTTCGACAAAATAAATAAATTGTAACTCGCTGAGTAGGAGAAAAAAAATGCATAGGATTTTGTAATGATATGGTAAGAATAAAKAAATAAGTTAATCATCTATATAGTTACACAGTAAACTGTTACAATAATATAATAGTAATAGAACGACTGACGAGCGTGTGAGTGTGTGCACTAAGCAGTGTGTCAATCTACCAYTCCGATAATATACCTGTTAGATACACAATAATATTATACAATAAAGGTAATAAATTATAACAATATATATATATACGTATATATTTACGCTACACCATCTACTTTGGACTATTTCAATAATAATATTACCAGTATTACCACTAAATATTCACATTTTCTAYGAATTTGTGCAATATGTTATGTACACTAATGTGTACGATACAATAAAAATTACAAAATATAAATCAATCATAATATTATGTATAGTTATATAGTTTTGAGCATATCGTTCAGTGAAAAATTTATGTATAGTAGCACATTAGATWTTGTTAGATATTCAATTGCATTTTTTTWAAATTATTATTGTTGATTTGCGTTTCAATGGCAATAAACAAAGCTTTACGAAAATCAGCCTCGCAAACTTGGCCTTACGAAATTCGGTTACGAAAAAAATTATTATACCCTGCTCAAAAACATGTATATGTTTAGAAAAATAGAAAAGATAAATATAAATACAATTAACAATACAATAGGTAAGTATTAACAATCAGATATATTATATTTACAATATAATATTTTGTAAAGAACAATGAGTATAAATGTGAAAAGGGTAATAAAATATTATTTACAAGTGAGACTTATTTTGATGGAAGAAGCCACCCATCGGCGACACTACCTATAACAATTGTATTAATTACAATAATACACGTACCTATATGTATTATATTATATTTCTTAAGACACGAATCTAAAAATTAATGTTWTGAAATTTTCAAAACAATCAATCATATTGTTTAATTTAATATTATATAAAAGAGTTTTAAATTTAGTTTTATACAAAACACTACATCGTTTGCAGTTTTAATATTAAAAATCTGGAGAACTCGCAATGCTGTGTATATAGTCATTGACTGTACCATGCATTCAAGTAGATAGATCACTGTAATAAATGTAATGGATGCACATTGAAACCACTATATAGATAGTGGACAGCCTGCAGGTTAATTAAAAAATGTCCGCTATAGAGAATTGGTTATACATTTACACACATACATGCATTGAATTTTGTRCATATTAATTTATTAATACTTACATATTAATATGTATGTATTTAAAATTGGTTTTAAAAATGTTCATAAAATGTATAATGTTTATGTACAAATAAAAATATCTGTAATCTTTTTTTGTKTGATTTTTTCCTGCTCTTTGCAATGATATATACAAATATATTGTGTCCATTCATGAAAGGTAATCCTTAATTTTAGTATCTGCAGTTGTCAGTTTTTAGTGTACTAAGTGTACTTGCAACTATTAGAAGGGTACATCATTAAAATAACGTATATTATGTGCATATATTTTTGCCGGGGAATTTAAAAGTTTTCACATGACTTAAAGTTTATTGTTGAATAATTACCTGTTGTCTATTGATTAATCATATATCTATGAAAATCTTTTTTAATATCTGCAGGATAAAAAGTATCTAGATGTAATTAATTGTCAAATATTCAAACAGTTTTAAAATTAAGCGTTTATCCAAATCATGATTACCTGATGTAGATGAGACACATTTAATTGTTTAATAAAATATTTATTTTTATCTTTATGGTGGTTTAAATATACTATATATATATATATATATATATATATATATATATATATATATATATAAGTACTTTAAATATATATCTACATTAGTTTATTGGGCATTTACCTACTRTTGATCGATCTTGCCCAAATCCACATAATACTATAACAAGTTATTACTTATTTGATAATAAAAGATTATTGTTCTCATAAAAAGGTATAGCAGTTATTGTTTTTCTAAAATAATTTAGGAATGATATTAGATAACTGGTAAGGGGTTTAGGTTTTTATATAGTAAGTTTTTTTGATAATTGTTTTTGTCTGTTGAAATCCATAAGCCCTGTCGCCCTGATATAGTTACTGTACATATTTTGTAGTTATCTACAAACGTTTTCGAACACACACGCATGGGTAAAACAAAAATCTATAGTAAATATGACATATTATATAGGTAGCTTGGTACGTTGTAAAAGTAATATTTACTAATACACTAGAAATTAATATTACAACCCATTCACAGAAATTGTTCATACTCTACCGAGTTTTGATRAGAGCCTCTGATGCAGAACTCACACGCGCATAAATAAAATATTACTTATGTTCCGTTCCAAGTGTAAAAATTATCATTGTAAAACTGTTCTGTCACTGTAAGAATGACCGAGTTCTTCGATCCACGTGGGAAAATTATGCACACAGACTTTTTAAACAACATCTTACACTACAGCATGATACTACAATATGCGCTTAACTTTTTGAGATTTATTAAAATTTATTGACATTTATAAATAATAAGTGTAACTTAACCTGCATGATGTTATTTTCCGTAAACATTTAACGCCCGTGATGGGTTTACCAATTCCGAAGCTCCGTTAAATGTAAGCTGAACTTGGCCGAACTTAGCAACACTTTATAACACAAGTCATTTTAACCAAACATCCAATAGGTACACAACTGAAATCAAATCCAATCATAATAATAACTATTATTTGCTGTAACTAATGGAAACATTCGAAACAATATAATRTAACAAAAAAATTATAGCTTTTCACAAGTMAACTATGTATAGGTATCCAAGATTTATGTTGAAAAGTAAAAAGCAYGAGAGAGCAACAAATAAAAAGTATCCTGTGACACTATGCGGATCATCCTAATAAATCTAATCACGAWAATGTGATGAAAAACGGTCGAAATTTGTGTAACAATTTCATCAATATCATAACAATCATCCGTTTAAGACTTATTGGATTAGTAGATGTATTTAATATTTATTAATTATAGTTAATCCTGAATGGGTCTTCCAGTGATAAAACAAATAAGGCCAGTATATTTACCTTATCTTAAACTCAGATTCAGCTTTTTTTTATATATGTAGATACCRATAGTAAGTTGTGTATAGAATTTTTTTTCGTCAAAATTCGAACATTCGACAGTGCYTAACATCATTTAACCAATATTTAAGATTTAACCACCTACTTCCAAAACAGAAATTACAACTAATCAAAAGAATATAGCACCTATGTTTATAGTATGTCATATATACAAAATAAATTATACATTTCATGTATGCCCTGCTACAGTGTCAAGCTATTTGGTGCCCTGCAGATGTAATTATATATTTTGTAATCGCTGCTCTACGCCCCCTCCAAATAGGAAGGATTAAGAGAGATAACCTTAAAATAAGGCTCTATATACAGTCTACATGGACATTTTATAGTGTATATTAATAATTAATATAATATTATTTTAAAAAAAAACCCATAGCACGATACTCGACATTTTCCTGCAATATAAGGAAAATCTATGAACCATAAATATGTTTTTGTTAATTATAATTATAGTAACCATCGTGGCAACGAAAACCTTACATACGATAAATTGACCAGAAACAAAAGACGTGTATCCAGCCCAAAAACATAATACATTAATCACTGGATTATTCGAACCTCGTTAATTCGAAATATCTGTCGGTGGGACACACTTTACAATTTGGATTTTTTTTCCAGAACCTCTATAATTCGAATTTCCTTTAACGCGATTACGTGACGGTATTTTCCATATGTATAAAGATTATATTATGTACAATAAATTTGACATACTCGTAATGAAACTAATAACGGCGGCTATTAAAATATATTACCGTACTTTACCTACCTAATCAAGACTTTAATCGTTTACCCTTTTACCAATATAAACCTCTGCAATGGGTAAACAGTTATTGTAACCACTGTAATGTAAGAAAACAAATACCAAAAATTGCGCGTGGAATCTGAGATGAAATTTTATATTTTATTTTCGTCGATCGGACGATTGTATTACGACGTATATCGCGTAACG